GGAGAGTAAAAGAAGGTAAGTAATAAATCGGCATGGAAAAGGGATTAGAAAACAAGAAAGTTAACGATTTATCAAATAAGGAAAAGTGTTATTTTTTTGAAAAACAAAAAACGTTGCCGAAAACAAAAAAACGTTGCCAACAAGAATCGATCTTGTATCATTACGTGTCCAGGCACCCAAATTTGCTAATATAATATATCAGTTTTCATAAAAAATTTCTATTAATATACCGAGTCCCCGTCGGAGTCGGTGGGTGTTGCAGCACCCAGAATCTTACACGTGGGTCTGCCCCTATCTTAGATCATTTTTGATAGTAGAGGGGTATATTTGGCCCTTTGCCATAAAAAAAAATCCTCACACTTTCTTAGTTGGTTGTTTTTTAATCAACAACTACCCACTCAAATTTGCAATTATTTTTTTATTATCTATCTATATAGAATAACAAAATCAAAAATATGATAGGCTGCCAAGTGGAATACCCACAATTCAACACGTGTCAAAAATTAGGACAAATCTCTAAGATAGTTAGAGTTTCAAATTCAAACTACAGATCAGGAAAATAAACTTAAATTTATCAAATTTCAAAAACTTTCAATCCGCCCACGATTGAGTTTTTGCAGTTATTCTATTCATTTATTTATTATTATTTATTATTACACTTACCTATTAAAACTTAAAAGGTATTTCTGCAAGATGTATGTTGAAAGTAGACATGCAAAAGACATATGATTCGGTAGAATGGGTATTCCTAGAGCAGGTTATGAATGGACTAAACTTTCCTTCTCATTTCACTCATTGGATCATTGTCTGCCTAAAAACTGTCGTATTGTATTCAAATCAATGGACAACCATCATAGGCTTTTGGTGCAAAGAAAGGATTAAGACAGGGGGACCCATTATCTCCATTCTTGTGTGTATTAGTGATGGAATACTTTAGTAGAATTTTGAAGAGATTGGGACATGAACCTGATTTTAATTACCACTAAAAATGTGAGAAAATAAAAAGTATTCAACTGGGATTTGAAGATGATTTCCTTCTTTTCTCCAGAAGTGATGTAAAGTATGTTCATATGCTATTTGAATGCTTTCAGGAGTTTTCCTTAGCTTCAAGACTTATTGCCAATAGAGAAAAAAAGTTCTATATATTTTGGAGGCGTGGGTCAGGCAGCGCAACAACAGATTATAGAGGTAACTGGTTTTGCAAAAGGTGAATTACCAATTAGATATTTGGGGGTGCCTCTAAGCACTAAACGACTCTCAGTGATCCAGTGCCAACCACTACTAGAAACAATAATAGGAAGGATCCACTGTTTATCAAAATTATTATCCTATGCAGGGAGAGTTCAATTGATAAAAAATGTGTTGTTTTTCATTCAGGTATTTTGGTCACAAGTAAATTGTGCTGCCTACAAAGATTGTCAAAGTTATTGAAGCAACTTGTAGAAAATTCTTGTGGTCATGTAAGGTGGAGGCATCAAAAAAGGAATTGCTAGCATGGGATAGAGTTTGCTACCCACAAGTTGCTAGAGGGATAAATGTTTTAGATGTTGCTTATTGGAATAAAGTTGCAATATGCAAGCTTTTACTGAGATTATGCACTAAAAAGGATAGCTTGTGGGTAAAATAGATTCACAGTTACTATATAAAGGACAGACATGTGTGGGATATAACACCAAGACAAGCATCATGGGTGGTTCAAAAAATATTAAAGGCCATAAGCTATGTTAAACAAATAGAAATGGGTGCAATTGAATTTGAGTCCTTGACAATCTTCTCTGTAAAACAGTTGTACACTAAACTGAGGGGAGAATTTCCTAAGGTTTCTTGGAGAAAGCTAGTATGCAATAATCTAGGAACTCCTAAATGGGTATTCATATTGAGGTTGGTGGCACATGGGAGAATACTTACCAGAGACAGATTACTTCATTGGGGAATGGATGTAGCACAATCTTGCCCTCTCTGTAATAGTGGGATCGAGAGTATTTCACACTTATTTTTTCAATGTGACTATACTGCTTATATCTGGAATAAAATCTTATTCTAGTAAGGAGTAAACAGGAAAGCCATAGATTGGTTGGAGGAATTAAAGTGGGCAGAAGAATATGCAAATGGGAGAAGCTCTAAAGCAGAAGTTTATAGGATAACACTTGCAGCAAGTATATACTATGTTTGGAGGGAAAGAAATCAACGGGTGTTTCAAGATAAATATTTAGCACTAGATTTTATTATAAAGCAAATAATTCAAGAAGTTTGTTGTAGGGGATCAATGAAGCCAAGGCTTGCTCGGAAATTGAAAATGTTGAACTTTTATCCTTAGAACTAGGATAGTAGTAGAAGTTTATAGTAGATGTTTTGCTTAGCGTCAATTGTTGGAGCAATATGTTCAACAGTCTACTGATTTTTTATCCTTACGTATATAATGACCAATTGGTAATAAAATTCTTTATTTACCAAAAAAAAAAACCAGAATTACTCTCCCTTTTTTGGTTGGCAGTTATAAAAAAAATAAAATTCTCTCACTTTCTTAGTTGGCTGTATTTTAATCAACAACTACCCACTCAAATTTGCAAATATTTTTTTATTAATAAAAGTGAGAAAAAAGGAGGAAAACAGTCGGAATTATCCCACGACTGATCGTGCTCCCAAACATGGGCTTCCAACCAAAAATTCCTATTTTGAAGTATTTCTTTTTCCCGTATTCATAAAGTACTTGCATTCTATATGAAAATTCTTTCTTCCGGATTACTCAACTGTCTAAGAATTTGCTCCAATAATTCCACTTCCATATAAAGAGTTATTTAACTGATATGGAAGCAACTCTAGCATTCTGTTTTTTTTTACCTCAAATGTTGAGAAAAACTTTAGGTAGTGATTGTCTTAATAGATAGATATAAAATTCATGCATTTTTGTACTTAAAACATCTATTTTTTTCAAAATATAAAATTCTGCCAGATATTACATATCCGTTACCTTGCTTAGACTATCATCGGATGAACATACAGAAACTATGCATATATATGAAATATGTGTAGTACAAGTATTCATCTTTCTGTCTCTTAATATTTGCCTCATAATTCTACTCTAATAAGGAATCTGATTTTGTCGGGTGATCGTATACATGCTTCAATCGGAAAGTATGTTGTTAAATTTTTTAGGAATAAAAAACAGGAAATTCGCTTATATCGTTGAACTACTATGTTGTCAGACCAAATAATTTGAAGTTGAGGACTACGACACATAACCTGAGGCTGACATTTACACAAAAGACATTTGTTGAGGAAACAACTTATCCTTCATTTCATATGAACATCTTTAACTTGCGTCCTTGTGAGTTTAATTTCGTGTTAAAATTATATTTACCTTATGTTTTCTGTTTTGCATTTACAATGACAAAGGAATTGTATTGTTTAAAATTATTAGCGATTTAGCTCAGTGCACGTAAGTGAGTTTAATTTACTATTAAAATTAAATTTACCTTATGTTTTCTATTTTGCATTTACAATAATTTTTTCTTTATGTTAAATAGGAATATAGCTATTGGATTGCGGCAAAATTGGTGAATTTGGAACTTGACCGGGGATGGTCATACTTGGCATGCAACAAGTATACTAGATAGGTTGATAAAATTGGAAATAAATACTTTTGTAAGAAATGCAATGAAGAAGAATGCTCTATTACTCATAGGTAATTACTATATTATATATATTTAAAATTATATATAAAAAATATGCACAAAGTTAATCAAAATTGAGTTGCTGTATAGGCTTCAAGTTCGTGTTATGAATGGAACCGCTTTTATCTCATTATTGCTTTGGAATCACAATGTTATGCAGCTTATAGGGAAGTCCGCAAAACAACTTAAGGAAGGATTAGTTGAGGTATAATACTAAACTTAATTTAGTTGTCAATTAATATAATATTGCTAATCTATGAAATTTGGTGTAGATTTCAATTGCGGATGCTGACTATTTTTATCCAAATGAACTGGATGATATTCTTTATAAAAAATTCATGTTCAAGGTTATTGTTAATTAAGCAAGAGAATATTGAGTCACGGGTCGAAGTCTACAATGTTCTTATGATTACTGATGGTGATCATCATCTAAGGGAATACGGCCACAGTTTATTCGGCGACACTGTCACTATAAACATTTTTACTCACAAACCTGTGAATACAAAATTTAAGTATAAATACTTTTACACTCATAAGATGAATGCTTTTTTCCTTTATTTTAAGAAGATGAAAAAGATATTACTTTAAGAAAGTGACTCATGTATTTATCTTGATTGACGGCGTGGTTATTAAGCAATGGCACAGATATGATAACGCAAGACAAATTGCTTTATGACTCCAAAAGTGATATCAATAATTAGAAAGACATACCCTAGCAAGTATATCCGCAAATAAACAGCAGAGTCCTTTAGAAGATGGTCAATAAGCTCAGGTTCAGGCATTTTCGGTGCATCTGGTATCCAGTTCAGGAACCTTATATGCGCCCTCCAATCAACATTACTTAGTAAAAAATTATTAGTCAAAATTATGCAATCAATGGTAGTAGTGCTCTCCAACTCCTATTAAATTTTTGCTATTTTTGTAGGATCTTATGGCCGAAAGTCAGATGAAGTGTGTTTTACAAACTCCTATCGAGAAAAGCGTATCAGAAAGTGGATCGTCCGTGTTTAAAGATGGTAATGCTTGCAATGCAAAAATATCTCCTTTGAAGACGTATGACAAGAGGAGTAGATCCGCTAATAAGGCATCAGCAGTAGCCGGACCCAGAGTTACTAATATGTGAAAGTTAGTTTTGAATATTTTTTTTATATTTAAATTTATAATCCATTTTGTACACATGTGATTACTCCGCACGACAATTGTTGGTATGCTTCAAAATTATGGATAAATCCTACTCTGCTGCAATCTATTGAGTTTAAGTCCAGGTTTGTCAACATGATAATTTTGTTATGTGTACTAAAAAAATATTAATATGATTTTTTTATCTTACAGATGGGAAGACTTAATGGCAGACGGAATGTAAGTGCATCACTTATCCTTTTTATTCTTATTATTCTTCTCACTCTTGGTGTAATTACTTTATAAAATAATATTTAACTTATACAAAGAAGTTTGGCTTCAAATTCAGCTCAATAGTTCCATCAGACATGTCAACAAATTCTATGTCGAATGAATGAATACAATGTAGGAACTGATGTCGGTTCCTCAACAATGGTGTCGTCACTTTTCATGTCCGTAGCTCTAACTGCTCTTGCTTCTTATTACTCTATAAAGGACCTGACAAAAGTTTTTTTGAGCGAAGAAGAGGGTATGTAATTTTGTCTTCTTATTGATGGTCCGATACATTCTCATTGGTGTATTGTTTGATCTCCACTGAATCAGAGGGTTTACTGGTCAACAAAGTCAAACTAATGTGCTTCATTCCTTTTGCTCTAAACCTTAGTAGTCTTTAATTCTAATGAACTTAAGGCGTGTAATGGAAACACCATTACATTCAATTGTTGTTCGCGCTGTTGTAATTTCTCACATTGTTTTTTATAATATAATTAGAGAACTATGGAGGTAAACTTACTTTGGCTTATCTGGTAATTGGTGCTGCAGGAGCTACTATAATGTTGTTTATATATTATTTGTGATTATATTTTTCATTTTAATTTGGTCATTTGCAGGGAGGTTTGATTATCAATGGTTCTCCCAACGACAAAACTCTATTGTAAATGTTGCTCGAGGGTATGGAGCTACTATTTGGATTTTTCAACATAACAATGAGTTTTTGCAACTTGGGATATGTCCTTTTAGTCATAACATGTTTATAGAGTGAGTTCATCTTATTTCGTATTAATGCTTTGTTTAGCCCTAACTTCTGTACGATTTTTTAATTGGTGAAGGTTTTGAAAAAACATATTTACGAGGGACAATCCAGTCCACACACGCCATGGAAGAATATAATTATTAATTTTGAGGCTATAAAGAACATTATTGGACATTAGAAAATAGTCCTATATTTCTTTATTGTGTTTCCTTATTACTTTATTATACATATATCCATTACATTTATATGTTCCAAAAAATAATAGCATTTCAAATGAATTCCGACATATATTTTCTTATAAAAAATTATATTTATTATTCTCCACGCAACGCTCGGGTACGGATACTAATTTCTCGTAATAAGAAACAAACCACATTTACCAAACCATGTTTAGATCAACGAATTTCCTTTATTGCTTTGTTCTATTAACTTTTCATATTAATATTTATTTACATCGATGTGGGTTCTTGGTAATTCCTTAACACTTATTTTGCATTCGCCTAAGGAGGCTAGAACCATGTTTAACTGGTATTGTCACCAAGTTCATATTCTGAAGCGTGAAATGAAGGACTTCACAAAATCCAATCATAATTACTTGAAATGTCAAATTACAATTACTTAACCAGAAATGTTCAAACCACGTACACAACAAAACCAAATCCACATAAAAATTCTTATTCATCGTCTAAAGGAAGAGGTCTGCTCAGAGAATTGAACATTGAAATTCGTCAACCAAAACACAGTTCAACTTTGCAACGATAGTTTATCAAACGACGTGGAGTACCAGAGACCAGATTGGATAAACCAACAGAAGGACAATACCAACTGTGTTAGATATACCATTGCTTTGGGTGAAGGAATTTCTGAATCCACCAGATGCTCTGATGTGCTCTTGGAGGAGATAGCAACCAATCAAAAGACACACCACAGTGCCAACCCAATTGTCTCTGAAAGTTTCGGCAAAGAGGTTTGGTGCAACCACTAGAAGTAGGATTAATGAACCAGGCATCTCCAACCAATCTGTGATCCACGACAATATTATAAAGAAGGGTTAGCATGTAGCGGCGTCCATAAAAAGTGGGATTAGTAACTTGGAAAATTAGGCAACTAACTTGCTACAACAAGTTACAATATGTTGATACTATATATAATGTTTACAGTGTCGGAGCATATAAGTTAAATCCTTGCATATATATTAACACCATAGAGCAAGCTTTTGTACCATAAATATCGAGCAGCTAGATACATAAAGGAGCTTAAAGTAGTATCTCACAAGTTTTTTCTACCATCAATGGTTAAGTGTCGGAGCAGGTAAATATATTTGTGATGGTTATGCTCAAATATTCTAGGAGAAACTACATTAAGTTCATCATTGAGAGGTACAGAATGCAAAAGGTATTACCATTATATGCAGATCATGTTATACGCTTCAGAACACATTTTGAAGAATCTACCAAAAGAAAGCAAAATCTCAAAGACAAACCTAGTGATTGTTCCCAGATGGCCATGCTGCAACTTCTTCAAAACTTTCTATATTATCTCTAAATTATTCAGTGAAGCACTCGGCACATTTTCCATTGACAAACAATTCACAGTTACAGAAAGGAAAGTGCTGGTAGTATGAATCAATTAGTTGAAAATTATTGCTCTTGGTGGCTGGCTAGTATCTCATCTCTGTGTGAAGCTCAGGGTTATCAGCTGTATGAATCCTCACTCATCATGTTTCTCCATTTAAATGGAGTTTATAGAAGTACATTCGCATAAATAAAATTAAAGTTAAATATCCATGCAGTTTGGAAGATTTAGAGACATCTCTTCTGTGATCCATGACATGTCAAATTGGTACTTAATAAATTTGGGGTGCATATTACTTGCTAGAAAGCGTTTTCATCTGTTTTTTGAATATTAAGAAGCAGTCAGCGGAGAAGGTAACACAAACTTGGATTACAAAGCAAAAAACTTAATTGCAGAAAAAATTAAAACAATAACCAATAGGTTGTTTTCATCAGAAATCAAAAGCTAATGTTCATACCTGGAAAATGTCGTGGAAAGAAAAGCCTGAGTACTACTGCAACGAAAGCAATCCATTTCCCAACCTCTCCTCTGGAGATTAAAAACGACAATTGATTAATGAAGAAAAGATTCTCTGAGAATCAGGTAGCGATCAAATGAAAAGAGAATTTCTTGGATGACAAAAAGCAAGGAAAATCAAATAGTAGCAAACTAGAGAAGTTTACCTGAATAAGTGGAATAACACTGAAGGGAAACTGAAGAAAATATAGGGGATTAGAAGTCCAGTCAGCATATTTGTTCTCCAGTTTGTCCGGTCCAGTATCAGCAAATAACTGCAGATAATATTTGCTTCACTGGTTATTACCAAATCCACCAGGAAAAAGGTGTAAACTCTAGGTTCTATTCTACAAGAAACCATTGGATAATACAAACCTGTGGTTGACTATGAAATAAATTTACGCATTTTGAGTTACTTGCAACCAGCAAATTGACCACATTCCACAAAAATAAATCATATTTTACCAGCTTCCCTTACAACATCAAAATATACTTATTCCAATCTATGTTGCGCGGACTCTCCAAAATATTGCAGCACTCATGCCGGATCCTCCAAAAATACACTACTTTTGAAAGATCCAACAAGCACCCGGCAACATTTTTGGAGAGTCCGAGCAACATAGATTCAAATAGTTGAATTACTTCATCTAAAAGCTTAAAACAATTATATATTGCCGACATTTACTTAAATATTATAGTAAGTTTTCTTTTACTTCAACTGTTCAACAATAAAAGTGAAGCATCTAAACAACAAAGCAAGAACACTACACATCATGCACAAAAAAGCAACCTCCTGCACAAGGTAGAAAGCAGAGAAAGAGTAAAGGCCGAGCAATGAAACGGTTGAGCGGAAATAAGCTCAACGCCTCAACCACAGAAAGAACAAGTAGACAATCTAAAGAGCAGTGCTAGGAAATCATAGAAATCTCAAACAGCTCATGTTACCAAGATAGGAGTTGAGCAGAATTTAATTTGGTGCACCAAAAGTAGTTACAACGTTTTGAAATGAACCCTTCTTTAGGCCTCAAGTGCATATTTCATGCCTATAAAAAGCTATACCTCGATGCCAGACAATATGAGCATCATGTCATGTTCTTTGGAGTGATTACTTAATATCAAGGGAGTAGGCTAGTTCTTTTACAAGGACACACAAGATTACTTAACTTTATTTTTGGATATGATCAAGGCAAGCATATGCCGTAAAATTAAGCTTTGCAAAGTAACACAATGTTTTACACAGGTTCTCCTGATGTCTTCTTTTGGCATACTTAATTTTTCTTTTCTTTTTTTTGATATCCGTAGTATCCGAGCCAGCTTGCGCGCACCTTGACTAGTTCCACAGGATACCTGCTACCTCCTACCAGCAACAAGCATAAGGTAACTCTAGATATCGCAGTATCTGTTATTGCCTATAAAACTTCATTGACAAATCAAGGATAACGAACAAGAAAAAAGAAGACTTCCAAGATTTCATTACGGTATTAGCATAAGACAAATAGACATCCCATATCCATGTAAAGGTGGATTCAAGATTTAGAGTCAACAGTTTGAAGTTCCACTGCACCCACTAAGATGTAGGGAGAAACCCCTAGACTTCTTTTTGCATTGCAGCAAGGGAGATCAATGACAGAGATTCTCTGACGCAGTGCAACTATGTTTAGGATGAAACGTTTGTCAAGAAATGCATGTCAACACTTGGGATGTCTCTTCCCTTTTAAATAGATACCGCGAAAATTTCTCCTGGACCTCCTCATGTTTTCAAAGTAAATTACTTCTTTGAGATCTAAATAAATAGACACAACATGAAAAAAATAGATAGGAAAATTACTCTTAGGAAATTATAGGGCAATGAGTTGGTATTGACCTCTTCATAATATGTTAAAAGCAAAGTAAATTAGAACGGGGTTAATAATGTAAAAGCAAAGCATTGAATTTGAGGGACTATAGATACAACACTAAGCTTTATAGTAACAAATTATAGCAACTAAACAGGATGATCCCCAAAATCACGGAAAAGAAAAACAAAGATGGTATTCCATATCATGCTGAATTGAAGTTCTAGCTGCAACAAGCTCAAATGAAGTCATTGAGTTGAAATATGGACACTAATATGCACAGCAATTTTCGTCCAACCAGGGCAAAGAGCAAATATTTAAGCATATTGGATCAATCCTATAATGCACGTATTACTTGGTGGAATGAAAAATATTATCCTCTCCTACTCAGTAACTTTCCCCAGCAAACGTGTCAATGACAATAAGGCACTCCAACATGTCTCATTATCTAGGATTTAATATTCCTCAGAGGATTAACAAGGCTGTTGGTTCTCAAATGCAGTGTCAGCCTAGAAAAGTTCATACATTAATTTTGAGGGAGCCAGTTACACATCCATGGTAATCATAGTGGAATATGCCTAATCCTTTTCCAGATCAAAAGTCTCTACTTTCCAACTAAGTTATCAGTTTTGCTAACTGAAGAATTTTTCAACCAAGTCATGTCGTGGCCGATGGATAACCGAATCAGTTTGGTATACCATATTATTGTAGACTTAAATATTGCTTGTTCTTTAGTCGATGTATAAATTTTGATCTAGCAGCACACATAATTTGCATTTCTCTTTCCTTTTCCGTAGGTGTACTTGATATGTAATTTACAGTGGGCCGACACATTCAACTGCTGCTTAGTCGAATACTAAAGCAATTAGCCCCTAAATATGTTGGCAGAAGACCATCCTCTTACAAAAAATTAAATCAAACAAATTAAACATTATCTAATGAACAGCCAAATTCGTAAAAGGATCTTTTATTAATTCTCCAGAAAGTGAGAATGAACCCAAAAACCCAAAGAAAGCAATATGAATTTTCACTTTTTGAAAGTGAAACCCTCAACATTAAAGGAGACACAGTTTTGAGCTATTCCAGGTTCAAAGTCCGCTGACAAAAAGAATCTCATGGTGCAAAGCATTTCCCACTTTCCACATTGTGTTCGACATAAAGAAGTAAACAAAACTCATTCCAACAAACTTTAACTCTTAATCAGATAAGTATTTACTAATCGTAAAAGGGAAGGAAAAGGAAGTATTGAGATTACATGGCAGCAAAGGAGGAGACCCATTTGAGGAAAGAAGTGCCAAATCCAAGACCACCAAGTTTAGTGGCATGATCAAATAGCTTCTTAGCAGCTAATTTGAGCTCATTGATATCTTCATTAATCAATTTGTTAGTGTCTTCATCAGTTTTCATTGCCAAATAATCCATTCTCCCCATTTTTCCTTCTCTTCACCTCGATCGTACTAGATCTGAAAAGTTTGAAGTATTATTGATCTCTGATTTTAAACAAGAATACTGAACGTGTACAGTCTGTCTCGCGTGTTTTTGAGCTGTGTCTACAATACTTGCGGACACGTAATTCAGTGTGGCCTTACAAGTGCACTTCTAATCCGCTACTTCGACTGCTTTGACCAAAGTTTACGATCCGCGCTTCTTGCTTGGTTTTTTTATTTATTCAATTTAAGTTATCTGATCACACAAAAAAAATGTAAATCACATCAGTGTCTCCGTGTAAGGAAATATAAAAGTGAGAAGACTTAGTCTTCGTATAAATTAAAAATAATTAATATATATATAATTTATGTATAATATGTGTATAACTATATATAATAAGTATATAATTTATGTATATCGATTGAAAAATTAATTACGAATCAAAGAGCCATATGATCTGGACTACAAGCCCGTTTGGATTGGTTTAAAAAAAGTGGCTTTTAAGCACTGTGCTTAAAAGTATTTTTTAAGTGTTGGAGCTTGTTTTATAAATAAGTAGTTACGTGTTTGGATAAAAATACTTAAGCTGAAAAAAAGTTGTTGAACTGTTTGGTAAATAAGTGTTGGTAAACAATTATTCTGTTAAATGACTAAAATATCCTTAAAGTTGTTAACACTAAAGTGTGTTATTTTTGGAGAATTTTCTTTTTTAAAAAAATAAAAAAAATATTTATGTTTAGATAATTTTTCATTTGAAGTTACTATATTAGTGCTATATATTTGTTTCAACTTTTTCGAATATTTTTGTATTTTAGTTTTTGTACTAGACAAATAATTATGACATTGTTTGTTTGACAATATAAAAGAAACGCAACCGTTCAAAATACAAAGAATTCATGAAAATAATTATTAGTAAATATACTATCAAACAAGGAGGAGTAAAATAAAAATGTGATTATGATTATTTACGTGAGAAGGAATCATGAAAATGAAATCAGGGCACAAAAATTTTAAAAATGGGGAAAGCCAATAGATATAAAATGGGATATGTCATGGAAATGGCATTAGAAATGGTTGACAAAAATGGAAATAGCGGAGGGAGAAGAAGGAAAAGAACGATGGGCTTTTGGCTTTGAAAGGATATTTGGGAAAATAAAAAATTATTCGGGATAAAAGAGTAAATTAAATGGTCAAACCCAATCAACTTTTAAGTTATAAAAAATAAGTTAGGATTTTCTAACTTATTGCTTTTAGCTTGTTTAGGCTTAAAACACTTGGCTTAAATGTTATTTTTAAAGTTATCAAACATTCCAACCAACTAAAAAATACTTTTAAACGGGACAAACCAGCTTTTAAGTTAATCCAAACATCCTCTGCATAATCACAATGCTTGTAACTTACTATTGATTTGTGGATGTGGAATTTCATTTCAATAATTGCGCATTTCTTGCGGGAATGAATGATGTGGTCATGTGCATTTCAGTTCTGAACTCATGCGCAGCCTCTAGATCCCAAACTTCCCAAAACTATTGCAAATAGCCGATCTATGAATGAATGGTGTACGGCCATTTAATTTAATTTGACCCCTCGTGTTCAGTAACGGAGACAACATTTTTGTTAAGGGGTTCAAACAAAAAAAATTAAGAGAGTGTAGCTAATGAGAATTGAACCAATAATTTCACAAAAGTTTGAACCCCCTTTGCTACACTTCATGTTTTCGTACGTGAAAGTACGTCATAAGTAAAATTGATGAAAGTTCGGAAATGAGATGTTACGTCTCGTATTTTCGTACGTTAAAGTTTCGTCGTAAGTTAATCGACGTAAGTTCAGGAATGAGATTATTTTGAGATTGTAAGTATTATGCTATTTCAAGCAAGTGATAAGTCAATTCATGAAGGTGAGAGAGTAAGCGAATCGAAGAAAATGAATTTCGTCGAAGTTTGACATTTTGAGATAAAATATGGTTCAAGTTATAATACCCTGTATTTTTGAACTAGTATCGTACAAGACTACAAGGTACAACATGACCATGATAGTATGATGTATAAAGTGTGTTAAAAGTAAGTAGTATTTTAAATAATTTGAGATAATTTTTAATTATGTGGGTAATTGGTTAATTATTGGATTAGTTCGGGATTAATAAGTTGATTAAGGAAATGGGTGAATTATTGGATAGACTTGATAAAGGCCCAATGTGACAGCAACATGTGATCAATTAAGTGACTCTTAAATCACATTGCAAGGTGGCAAATTTGAAGGAATTTTGGTGGCTAAGTAAGCCTTATCAAGTGGGGCCCACACACAAAGATTAAAGATACATCTCTAATTCATTTTGAATCTCTACAATGTCAAAGAAGGCTTCAGCAAAAGTCATCTGAAGTTATACTACGAGACTTCTTAGAATAATAGCAACAGGATTTTGCGATTCTAAGGGAGTACAGTGCAATCTTTCTCAAGAATATCATACAGATTTTTTTCTACTTCGATTTGTCGTTATGTGTTGTCGTAATTGACGTGTGTTAGAGGGATTATCAAGAGAATCGGCTCAGGTATGTTAAGGTTATCCCTTCTGTCTTTTTGGCATGGTCCATACGATACAAACGAAACGAGCAAATGCACAACTTTCATAAATGACTCTATTCATAGAAATGCTAGAGATGCTTATGTTGTTGATTCCCCGTGTGTCCTATTATTCTATCATCTGTTCATGGGTCTCAGAAAAATACGTAGTTGATAAAATTTATCCGAAGGCATATTGATCTTATGACATACCGAGAAATCTTTTTAACGCACTTCTTATGCATTTCATGCATTTATACATGTACATTGACCCATGACCAGATGGCGTTATATACGCGTATATTATATGTATATGGGATATGGGAAAAGGTTACGGTGTTATATATGCACCACCACCTGATCAGCTGGTATACATTGACGATTTGCCCACAATGGCCGAAATTATATGATGGGATGCCCTCAGAGGCTTGATGATATTATGAACGCATATACCTATGCATGGTATGACATTTATACGCATATGCATGGCATTATAAATATGAAATGATTACAAAACTATTCAGACTTACATGCTGAGTCTTTTACTCCATGTTTCTCTATGTCTTTTATTTACTGATTTTCATTCCTTATATACTCGGTACATTATTTATAATGACGTCCATTTGTCACGACCCCAAATTTTCTCCGTAAGATGTCGTGATAGCACCTAGTCTCTAAGACTAGGTAAGCCTATCAATGTGGAATAACAATAAAAATACGAAATAAATATATTTGCAATTCACAAAAATTACATCTACCAAAATCCGGTAGAAATAAGTCACAAGCTTCTAAGAATTTATCCTCAATATTTTTATATATCAGAGTCTAAAGAAAATAAGGAAGCAACATAATAAGGATAGAAGGGGACTCCGGGGTCTGCGGACGCTGACAGATATACCTCGAAGTCTCCGTACACCGGTAGCTCACTGATGTCTAGACTTGTAGGATGTACCTGGATCTGCACAAAAAGATGTGCAGAAGCATAATATGAGTACACCACATCGGTACCCAATAAGTGCCAAGTCTAACCTCGGTAGAGTAGTGACTAGGTCAGGTCAGGCCCTACTGGAAATAATAAAAGGCATGATGAAATGTTTAACAATATAATAACAATAAAATGACAATGGAAATAAATCAAGTAGTATGTCACCATTAAATTACACAAATAATGGCAAATAATACCTTGCGGAAAGAAAACAGAAATTTACAACTTTAAAGAAATCACCAAAATAACCAAAGGCAAATGCAGCCATAAAGAAATATCAACAAGGGCACTCCCGAGGTACCGCCTCGTTGTCCCAAATCATAAATAAATTCACAATATCTCATTTTCTTATATCACCGCGGGAGCCTTCACAATTTATTTTAAAGAAAATATTTTTTCCAAAATAGCATCCCGCATTTTAACCACCATTATCACACCGCATGACTTCTAGTAGTTCCCCTACTAGCCACACGTATCAAGCCACCCTTATCTCACTGCATGCGTTTTAACACCCAGACCTTATACCACCACATGCGTATCAATATCACAATATATCACAATATGCACCTCAAGTGCTCAAATATTTCAATTTACCAAAATAAATCAACAACAACAATATTTTCCACAATATGGAACTCACGTCTCAATCACAATAAGTATAAATATCTCACAGAATATTCGAGAATGAATAACTCAGCAAAAATAATATTTCACAAATTCACGTTGCGTCAATACCAAATTTAAAATGTCAAATACTTCATATTAATAATAATTCAATTAAGAAATTCAACTTTCAAATATGGAGCACAGAATAAAAGAAACAAAGTTTCAACTAAACATGTAAAGCAATTAGTATGAAAAATGTCAGGCAAATTTTAAAAATATATAATGGATCAATGATGATAAATATAACATGATAGAATAATTTAATTAGTTTGTATCAGTAACATACACAATTTAAAGACATAATCTTCCACATTTAGCTTNGTGAAATTTCCCTCCCCCCCCTCCCCCACAAGGTTAGACAAGTCACTTACCTCGACTTGCTCCAATTTAATCCACTAGTAGGTCTTTTCCTCGACTATCCAACTCTGAATGGCTCGAATCTAGCCAAAATAATTCGATATAGTCAACAAAAATTATAGGAATCAATTTTATAAGAAACACTACATTTTTCAATAAATATTCGAAATTAACTCAAACATCGACGTCTCAGAATACGGCGAAAGTTACGAAATATGAACATCCATTCTACCACGAGTCTAACCATACCAAAATGACTAAAATCCGACCTCAACTCGACCTCCAAATCTTCAAATCTTATTTTCAAATCCCTAAGTTCAAATCCCAGATTTACACCTCAAAAACATGTAATCTAGTCGGATTATTCGATGATAATTCAATATTATGGAGTAGAAATGATCACAAGGGACTAACCTCAAGTTTTTCTGTGTATTCTTTTTGATAAATCGCCCAAAACCGTGTTGAAAATGTCCAAAATGACAAAATTATCGGAACCCCTCTGTTTTGTAATCCGGTCAATACTTTCGCACCTGCGATGCACGCGACCGCATCTCCGCTTTCGCAGATGCGAAGACCTCCCTCGCTTCTGCGGCTAGCTTCGCTTCTGCGATCCCTTGTCCGCATCTGCAG